ACTGAGTTCTGTGACCCCAGCCCATCTTCAACTTCATAACCACGCTTCTAAGGAACAAGTACAAGTTAACTTCATGTTGAACAGTAAGAAGAAACACAAAATTTCAGCTATTGAGTCTTCTTCAGGTGTCACTGTTTCTCTGTCACATAATTTACAAATGTCATTTTTATATGCATATCCAATTAGAGATATAAAGTCAGTAATATATTATAAACAATACTGCCTTTACAGTTCCATCTGTGTGACATAGAGAGCAATCAAGCAGCTGTTGAGTGAAGATGCATACAATATGTAATGGTAACCAAGAAATGCATGCATGACACCAAGTTAAGAAAATTGAAACTGCAATGTGTTTTTCTCATTGATTCTCTATAATTCTTAATGCTTTGTAAAGGCTTGGCTTCTTTCAAAAGGAATTAGCATGTCCCAGCTTCTAAACCCCTTAATAAAGAGGGATAAAGCTCAGCAGGGAGTCCTGTTGTAAACTACAGTCCTACAGTCCTAGGCTGGTGCTTGGCTTTATTTATTAAATCTGGAGTTGTGGCCACAGATATTCCACCATGACAGGAGTTGGGCTCTCAAAAGCAGTGAAGAAAACTAATACTGAGATTTGAGCATTTTTATAGCAATATTTCCCCCAGCTTTGTTTAAATAGTCACTCTTACATTATTAAAAGTAAATGAAATGAATTTTTACGAGCCGTGCATAATGAGGAATGCTGCCACAAAAGGTGTGCATTGCATGATGGGTAGATTTCCCTACTCTTGCTTCTTAACCTTTTACATTCTCTATCTCACTCAGAAATTAGTAAGATGGTTTCTTACTGCCCAATATTATTAAGAGTGAAGCAAATTGCCCAGCCGCTTAAATCTATACAGTTACTAAATACATGTCTCTACTGTAAAATCCTGCTGGTTTAAAATGAGCACTTAAGACCTGTAACAAACATAAGAATTCAGCCCTTATAACTTATTTGGTTGTTAGTAGCTAATAAGTCAAAGGATCTAAAGCCCCATTTTTCTTAAAAGCAGCCTGGTTATTTGCTTTAATGATGTGGCCGGGCCATTTTTTCTAGACTCCCACAGCCCTTTGTGTAAAAATGTGTTCCCTGTTCTTGGTTTTAACTGCACAATCAGTTAGACTCCACAAATATTTTCAGATCTTCAAATGGGTTAAACTGACTGCCTATAAAGAATTACTTTTGACTAAGCTTATTTGATCTTTTCACAGCAACACCAATTGCTGAGACTGTATCCTCAAATAGCTTTAAACTGTGGTTTCATGTATAATATCATGATTAAAAATACAGATACAAAGCACAGTCCCATCACAAAATCAAATATAACACAATCACCTTTGAAATGCTAAATCTAATAGTTTCTTTTTATTTATTATGACATTGCATCTGTGAACAATTACATTGCATGGTTTACTGTATCTCACAAACTGAATACTGTACATGTCAGGACCTGGAGAACAGCATATTGTTTTACTGAGGCATTCTGTAACTTGTTTCAGACAGTTTTTGCTTTTCTTTGTCTAACTATCGTCAAACCCGGCTTCCTAAATAACTCATATGTCCATTCTAGGGCTGAAACTGCTGCTGTTGCTGCAGCTGCTGCTGCTTAGAAGAAAACAAGAGAATTTGCTTTTGTTTTAAACAATGCCATTTTTAAACAAAATGTTCCATGCTCTTTATAAACAATGGCCTATATTTGTCTATTGCATTTATCTTAGCCTTGGAAGGAAGTTTTGCTACTGTTGAGTCAGTCTGTCTGAACTGTTAAGGTTGAGTGTATTAAATAGTTCCCTGTTGTTTGAATAATGCTTTTTTGTGCTCAGCTGTATCCCATTTCAAAAACGTCTGAAGTAGCAAAATAAAAAAAATGAATTCCTTTACTTCATCTTTCAACTGTTGCTAATAGCCTAATCACAGGATTGTAAAATCTGTATTTGTGTAAAAAATGGGCTTGGGATGAGCATAAATGAAGCAAATATATGGGTTAATGGCACATACCTTAGCTGTGTGGCAAAATGAGTTTGTTTCCAGTAGGCTGGATTGACATTAGCTCACCAAACAAAGATAAGCAAGGCGATGTGGTGTATGAGGAGAGGACTTCCTTATAGGGGAAATAGAAGAAGCAATCTAAGAAAAAAAAAATCGCCATTCCAGTTATCATAATTTGGGCAGCATAGTGGTACGCATTGCTGCTTTACAGTGCTGGGGGCCTGTGTTACAGTTTGTGTGTTCTCCCTGTATTTGTGTGGGTTTCTTCACACAGTCCAAAAGCACACTGGTAGTTAACTGGATTCTGGGAAAACTGACCCTGGTGTGAGTGTGTGCGTGTTCGTGTCTGAGTGTGTCCTGCGATGGACAGAATCCGACTCCCCCGTGACCCTGTATTTAATAAAGCAGTCAGAAGACGGATAGATGGATACCAATTTTTGGAATTAATCTTCTAGTGAATTCCTGAAGAGGTTTAATTAGCTGTTCATCACACATTCATTTAATACTAATAATCCATTGAATTTAGATAGTGATTTTCGTCTCAAAAGATCTCAACCCATTGCACATCCTTCGTTACATCCTTTTTACTCTTTGCTACATTCTTTGATTACTTTTTACTCTAGCGTAGAGAAGACGAAGAGGGAACTTGATACAATTATTCAAAATCCTCAAGGGTGCTGACAAAGTCAACCCAGAGGAATTCCTCTGGAATGAACAGTGAAACATGAACCAGAGGGCACAAGTGGAAAATATGTGGAAGTGCATTTAAAACTGAGAACAGCCGGCGCTGCTTTACACAAAGGGTTTTAGAGGTATGCAGCAAACTACTGAGCCTTGTCTTTGAAGCAGATCCCTCGGTTTCTTTCAAGAAACGGCTGGATGAGATCCTTGGATCAATTATCTAGGATCTACAGTTATCTACTATTAAAAGGGGTAGATGGGTTGAAGGAGCTCCTCTCATTTGTAACTTCTCTTATGTTCCTCTGTTCTCAATAGTGGTGTACATGCTGCCTTTTGGGTAGTTACGTTTAATTGGCTTAATTTCCTGATATCCCAGCATGCTCTTCCTTTTTGCTGGCACAAGATTAGAACTCAGCTATACCAGTGGTGAATGTGGTATCTAATAGCATTGCACTGATAAAAACCGTGGGCAATCTTTTATTTATCTATCTTTTTTCTCCTTTTAGTTGTATAACCAGTTAGAGAGCTGTCTAGGCAATTCTCTCTTAGCCCTCTATTTTAGTACTCTCAGTTTGCTTTTTGTTATGTCAATAGTGTGTATGCTCAATAGGGAATCTCTGTTACGATCCAGAGACCCCCTTGAGGATCCATTGTGCAGATTTTATCAAAGAAATTGTAGCCAAAAACAATATATTGAGCTTTCACTATATATACATACACACACATAAATATACATATGTATGAATATTTTACATTAAAAGCCAAGTGTTTACCACTCTAACTGTGATGAAGTGCAGTAGTTTATGTTTGTAACCCCACTGAGTTGAGATCCAAATCCCTCTGTGCATTTATACCTTAGCACACACAACCAAACCCAGCCTTTCTGGTCTCTATGGTTTAGAAGTGTAAATTATTAGAAGTTCATATGAACGTCAAGCTGATGTTTTGTGAATTTAGCCTATTTATTACATGCCTGAGTATTTTTAGACCAAAAAATGAAAACTGCTGTGGTTTATTTCTCCTACTTCTGACAACAAAACCTAAAAAGAACATTGTTTCTCATGCTTCTATAGCACGTGTTCAAAAGAAATAAAGACCCTTCTGAGCACTGTGAAATGATTTAATGCTTCTTAGATCTATAAACACTATACAGTATGTGGCTCAGATGGATGATGTCTGAAGTGATGGTGTGGTTTACAGCAGTGTTTGTGACAATCGTCTTTTATGTGGTGTTCACAAGTACTTGAACACTAATTACTAAAAAAAAAAACAAGCTCTGAGTGATTTAATATATAAGACCCTGTTTTGGGCCAGTACGCAGACAAGTAAAATTATTTTGTCAAATGATGCAATTTCAAACTGCTGCAGGTTCTCACAGCTACTCTCCAAGATGAATTACCTGGATTATGATCAAGCTTATAATAATAATAATTGCTTACACTTATATACCGCTTTTCTGGACACTCCACTCAAACTTTACAGGTTATGGGATTCTCCCCTCCACCAACACCAATGTGCAGCATCCACCTGGATGATGTGACGGCAGCCACAGTGCGCCAGAACGCTCACCAGACATCAGTTATTAGTGGGGAGGAGAGCAGAGTAATGAAGACAATTCATAGATGGGGATTATTAGGAGGCCATGATTGTTAAGAACCAATGGGAAATTTGGCCAGGACACCGGGGTTACACCCCTACTCTACACCCTGGGATTTTTAATGACCACAGAGAGTCAGGATCTTGGTTTTACGTCTCATCCGAAGGATGGCACCTGTTTTTACAGTATAGTGTCCCCGTCACTATACTGGGGCATTAAGACCCACATGGACCGCAGGGTGAGCACCCCCTGATGGCCCCACTAACACCTCTTCCATCAGTAACCTTAGTTTTTCCCAGGAGGTCTTTATAGGATGCAGTATACCAATGTATGGATTAGCAAATAATGTATTTGAAAATAAATATCTAAGTATGAAATTAGTTTTTACATATTCTTACTATCTGTAGAACCCACTTTGAGTTTTGTAGTTTTTATAGTTTCTCAGTTTTTTTGAAGTATTCAAATACTTTGTTTCTGAAATAACATATGCTGTACATATGCTTTATATTTGCTTTCCTAAGGAAAGAATCAACGATAAATACAGAGGTACTGTAAAAAAATGGAAAATGGGGGTAAATGCACATGTGTAAAATGCAAAAGAGTGTCACAACTACCCATGATGCACAGTTACAAATTTAACCACTATGATGCAATTCAGCTGAGGCACAGGCAATTAGTGCTCTCCGGGGTGGCTCTGTGATCTTGCATCTCATGATAAATTTGATCCACAGTGAGGTCAGCAGCCATCAGTGCCACCAGCA